TTTCTGTGACCTAACAAGCTTCTTTCTGTGATCTAAGCATGTATATTTCTGTGACCTGATAATTTGTTTCTCTTATGATAACGACTTTTACTTATGTGATTCAACCAATTATATTTTTGTGATCTGACCAACTCCCTTCCTGCAAGCAGCCCATTTCCATTTATGTGAGAAAGCCACATCCCATTCTGTGACTACATCCTCTCACTTTCAGTGATTTAACCAGTCTTGTCTTCAATATGCACCAGAAAACAGGATAACCACTCTGACACATCTAGGATTTGAATGACTCATTATTAGATCATAACATGTCTACTACGTTTGGAACTATCTATACCCATTAATATATTGTATGTTGAGTTAAACACAGGATTGCCACCAGGGTGGCCAAAGGAAAAATAGAGCTCAGGATACATACGGGCCACACCTGCTTAGAACAAAAGTCATTATACATAACACAATGGCATGTAAATACTATACACCCAGTGTTACCTCACAACATCTGTCAATACACCCAAAGCATCAGCAACCTTACTTATACTACCACAGAGAAAGGCAATACTGTAGCACCTGTGTCTCTTAGGACTGAGCACTGTCTACTGTTAACAAAACCTTTGTATAGTTTTAGTGCGTCACTCATTTCAAGTGTTGAGTTTGCTTCATGAATTGGGATGTTCGTGTCCACATGGCAGATGGTCTTGTTTATACAAAATTAAAGCAGGCTGTAGTTTTCAGATATATAAATTGGCTGTACTGAAGTAGCCACTGGCTGAGTTTCTTTTTCTTCTTCAGAACTGTTGTGCAGTCTACAGCTACACAGTCAATTCAGAGCTTTTTTTTTTAAGCTGGACAGCGCAGTTAATAGTGAGTGTCTCAGACAATTACAAAAATAACAAATGTTATCTGAGGTCCCTGTACTTAGTTGTTCATATTTCTAAATACAAGAGTGATCCTTTATATAACCTCCAGAGATTTTCTTTCCTTTTTATTTTTTATTTTTTTTTATTTTGCCTCATATTTGTTTAAAACAAACAGATTCCAAATAAGAGATAAAAATTTCATCAAATTAATATAGAGTTGTGTTTTGAAAACACCAGTATTTTAAGGTAAGGAGATCAACTTTATTGCACCAGGGTTGATCCCATACTGCTTCCACAGAGAGGCTGTCAACTACCAAGAGCCACACTTGTCTGGAAATCTCCAAAACCAAAATCCCAAGAACTGAACAAGTAGCTGAAAAGCTAATCCTCAATCCTGCTTGACCACTTCAGCAAGGAGATCCCCAACCAATGACCAATGAGGTTTACAGTGTGACACTGTGGTATTTTTAAGTTAAGCAAATGTAATATTTGCAATGCTGGTTTGTTCACCAAGGCTGGTGCAAACATACAATGTAGTCAGTATTTCAGTGACATTTAATATTTGACCATTGCAGTTGTAATACAACAGTAAATAATAGCTGGTTTCTGGACCACATTCTAAAACATTTTACAAAATCTCTGCTCGTGTTAGTTCGAATCTTTATTTTTAAATACATATTAAATTACAAAACTGATTGACAGCACTTTCCTTGACATTTTTAGACTTACAATTGAGAACAGTGTTCCTCAGCCTGTGACCTTTGAACCATGAATTGTTTGGTCGATGATTCTCAAGGGCTCATGTAATGTAGGTCAATCTAATAAAATCTAAAGATAAAATCTAGCTCGGCTTCACTGAAACTGCTGTCATTGATTTCTCACCAAGTCTCAAGCTTATTGTCGTCTTTTTTAGCTAAATCATGCGACTATTTATCTTTCTGCCAGAAGTTATGAGCCTTGTATCTTTCTCTCAGAAGTTATATATCTTTTATCTTTCTATCCCAAGTCACTTGTCTATAGACTTTTTTCGCATGCCCAAGTAAAATGTCTCTCGCCCTTCTACGAGAAGTTATGTCTTGTGTCTTTTGTTCTAGAAGTTATGTGTTATTTATGTGTTTTATGCATATTTCTGTTTTTCTGTCCTAAGTTATGTCTTTCTGCCATAACTTGTCTTTCTACCAGTAGTTAGGGGTCTTGTATCTTTCTGCCCTGTTACATCTTGGTCTATTTTTGTTCTTCCTGCTAGAAGTTATAAGTATTTTATTTTTCGGCCCAAGTTATACCTTTTGCCTTTCTGCCAGAAACTGTGTGTTCGTTATCTTTCTTTCCTCAGTTATGCACCTACTATCTTCCTGTCCAATGCCCAGTGTATGTAAGTTCAATAATCTATTGAAACACCAATTGATCCAGGTTGAGAAACACTGATCTCTGCTGGCATCTACTTGCACAGATTCAACAAAACATACTCACCCAAAGCCACCGCCGCCTCCCCGATCACCACCACTGCCAGGGCCACCTCCTCCCCGACCACCTGCGGTATGAAAGACAGTTTTAGCCAAATGCAGCTCATATACAAGAAAAGGTTATCTGGTTTGGGGTGTCTTTTCCTTCTTCAAGTTTACTGGCTGTAAACTCCGACAGAAAAGTTCTGGTTGTTCATCCACTTCTGGACTTTGGTCTTGTTCCAGAACTGTTGTTGTGCGTGCACATCAATTTTCCAGATCTGAGGCAATAGGCTAGAGGTCATAACTGCTAGGTCATGGTATAAAGTGAACAGACAACTTCCCTTTCTTACCCCCTTCTTTCACAGACAAATCTGACAAGGCTCCATTTAAATGATGTTTTTGTTGTCCCAGAATCCCTTTCCACAATGAATTCTGGTTGCTGTGAAGCTCTGGACAGGTCTGCATTTCTTTTGGATGTACACTATGATTGCTTTTCATCCATCTCTTCGTTTTATACTCCCATCTGCATCGCTGGCTCACTCACCTTTAATCTCCTTAAGTATGGTTCTCTATAACAGTGTTATGTCTTTTAACACAGTCAAATTAGTTCACCTCTCTTTTTTAAATTTTTTTTCCCCAGCAATTCCCTTTTCATTCCTAGTCTTTTTAGAACCTCTGTATTTGATCTGAATCATATTGGTGGTCAGATAAACACATTCTCCAACTGCTAGGGATCCAACCCAGAAAATATTGGTAAACAAGCGCTCAAACCACTGTCCCACTGTGGCTACCAATTATTGGGGACAGACCCAACCCACACTATCAATCAGCAAGCTGGTAAACTGACCCAAGTTTCCTCCTGGTTAAGCCTGTGGCCTCAGAAACTCTTTTGGTAAAACCCAGAATCTGGAAATTCTTGAGGTTAAATTCTTTAAAAAAAAAAACTATTTTACATAGGTCACCAAAAACTGTTTTTTGAGCTCTTTATTTTCATTGAAAATTTTTTGACTGAACTATATAAAGGAAATAGTCAAAAAACACGAGCGGAGTGGAGAATTAAACAACTGCACTCCCATGGGAAACAAAAATATATAGCGACTCACGTGTGACCCCATTTTTAAAAAGTAATAAAGGCTAAAGGAGAATTATATGGCATGAAAAACCTTTTTTTTTTCAATTCCGCGAAAATATTTTAGTAAATATAAATCAGTCCTTTGTGCAAGTATAAAGAGAACCAATGCCATTAACTGGGCTTGTTGGGAACAGGCCAACGCAGCAATGATGGTGCTCCACAGGTGGAGTCGGTGCTCCACAGGTGGTGTCTCAGAGTTAAGATTAATAACTTCATGACTAGCGCAGTAGCTATAAACTGTGCAGACTGAGACTGTGTGCGTGTCCTCAACAGAAACAAATTTCAATCACCATAATGCAGTTTCAAACCTAATTCTCCCATAAGACAGCAAAGCGTTTTAACCGCCTGGCAGAATATACAAACTTAAACAAAAAAATGTAAGTGTGTATCAATATATATATATATACATACATATATACATACATATATTTACACACACACACATATATATAAACAAAGAAGTCACTCTTCAAAACATAAAATCTGCTCTATTGGCTTGATTACTAAACTAGATTATATGGTCTAGGCTGTTCATAGTGAGGGCATCAAGGAGGAGAAGAAAAGCAGAGACAAAAGAAGTACATCAAAATGAGGGGTGAATATGTACACAACCAAGTCCAGGCACATGCCTCGATTCCTTCACGGAGGAGCGCAAAGCATTTCTGCCAATTTTTTATTATTTTACATAAGATGTTTACATTCATTAGAGAAGATTACTTCCATGTGTCACTTTTTGTGACACAAACTGAACAGGCACATATGAAATGTGCCTTTAAAAAAAGACATAGGTGAACCTACAACAAAAACTGTTTCAGAGATGTCAAATGTTAAGGCTTTCAGTTACACTATGGCAACAGGACTGCCAGTTGTGTGTGTGTTTTTTTTTTTCCTAATCATCTTACCATTTGCTAAGGGAGCAAAATTAGACAGGTTTGTGAGCAATGTCAAAGCACTCAAATGTGCTCAGTCTCTTTAGAAGATGTCTAAAAGTGTGCTAGTGAATTCATCTTTCATCTGAAAGCATCAACAACAGAGAACAAACTCTGCTGCTGCTCTCATAATAATCTAGGCAGACTTGCTATGATTTAGTCTTCTTCTTTTTGGCACTCACCAGCTGTAAACTGGGTGAAGAAGTTTTGGTTGTTTGTCCACTTGTTGAAGAACTTTTTGAGTGCACATCCATTTTACAAATTTGGCTTATTTGTAGACAGACTGTTGCACTGTTATTTCACCTCTTAGGCAAAGGCTTAATGTGTTGAAGGGATTCTTTTTCTTCTTCTGTGCTCACCATAGTAGAGCAGTTAGCATGTTCTGTTGTGGTTTAAAACAATGCTGATATCTGAGCATTTCAGCCTAATACATTCAACTTCAGCAAAGCTTTTATGACCTGTTTGTTACAAGAGGCAGAGGGTCTATTTTACGCCTCTCCCGTAAAAGTGGTGCGGACCCACATGTGGGGGAAGGGGTTCTATAGTCAGCTTTAAAACCAGTTACAATAACCAAGTACTAACTTCCCAGCGCCGGAACTATTCGGACACTGGCAATAACTGTGAATCTACTACTTACGCCCAACCCCACCATCGAAACCTCCTCTGCCACTATAATCAGGGTTGCTTCTACCTCCATCTCCCTGGCCGAAGGGCTCACCGAGTCTCGGACCACCACCTAATTATATAAAAAAATGTCTCGTTTCCGTATTCCAGCTTTTTAAAACAGATAATCTGTAACTTAAATGTAATTATATACTGCAACGTTCAGTTTGATTTAAACAATATTATACGATGTAGTGATCTGACTGCTGCCATAATGACAAGATATGACTACTGGAACATGATGCAGAGATTTCACTTGTAAAATATAAGATCTGACAACTGAAATACTGATGAATTTGACTACTGCAACATGATGTAGAGAATTGACTATTACCATATATGATCTGACTATTGCAGTGTGATGTAGAGATAGGACTATTGCAAAATATAAGATTTGACTACTACAATATGGATGAGATTTGACTAACGCCACGTGATGCAGAGAACCATTACAAAATTTGACTACTGCAACACTGCTGAGATTTGACTACTATTAAGAGATGTAGAGAACTATTACAATATAAGATCTGACTAATGCTACATGTTGTAGAGAGCTGACTTTTACAATACAAGATTTGACTGCTGTAATACTGATGTGATCTGACTAATGCAACGTGACGCAGTGAACTGACTGTTACAATATAAGATCTGACTTAACGCAACGTGAAGTAGTAAACTGACTGTAAGATCTTACTAATTTTAATGTGATGCAGTTAATTGACTGTTACAATATAAGATCTGACTAACGCAACCTGATGTAGTGAACTGACTGTTACAATATAAGATCTGACTACTACAACATTGATGAGATTTGACTAATGCAATATGATGTGAATAACTGATTGTGACAATATAAGATCTGACTAATGCAACATAATGTAGAGATCTGACTAGGTTAGTTGCGTATCCTTTACAGGACGTTGCAGAACCAACCCCAACAGCCCCTGGCTGTTGTGTGGTTTTTCTAGGTAAATTTATATCCAGTAGTTTGCCATAGAGATCTGACTGCTGCAGTAAAATATATCTCCACCCTTCCCGGTCCAAAGCCTGGATGAGAAATGCATTTGAAAACAAATGCATGAAGAAAATGATGAATATAAAATAAGATGAATTCAAGAGTGAAGAAATAGGAGACATTTCTGGGCAACCCCTAGTATCAACAGTTATAAGATAGAGAAAGTGACGCTATTGCACACATTCTGAGAAGAGATGAATAGAGAATCAGCAAACAGGCACTGTAATGGGAAACAGAAGGACTGAGAAAACGAGAACGTCAAAAACAACAAATCTCTCAAGTGAACCTAAATGACAGAGGCCAAAGATGCTGGCCTGGATTCCATCCATGATAAAGAAGCGACTGCACAGTTAAGAATGGAATGGAGACTGAGCACTATAATGGCAAAACAAAACAAGACAGAATATAAGATTTGACTACTGCAATATGCTGCTGAAATACACTTATTGCAGTATTATGTACAGATTTTCACTACTGCAAAAAATATAATGCTAGTATATTTTTACTATGTATGGCATATGGACAGCCCAAAACTTGATGGTGTTAGTAGACACGTTTTACAGACAGGATGCTGTAACTGAGAAAACGAACACACACAAGCATGACTATAAGTGGCCAATTTGTGTTTTAAATTTTTTTTTTTAAATTATTTATTTTTAAAGAGACTTTTAAATGTATATATATGTAAGTATGTGTGTGCGTGTATGTATATATTTATATATATCCATTTTTCTTTTCTTTTTGACAACCCTTCCCAAACATTGCTCAGCAGGTCTCGGGTAGTTAGTGTTCTTTGGATATTTTCCCCAGGATATGCCAGTATATTAGGAAACAAACAGGCAGATGGAATGACTGGTTCTGCACAATTTGGTGGTGAAATGATGCATGAGAAGTTAGATGCTGAAAGGGCCCTTTGGGGGCAAGTGAACAGTGCGGAAGCACAGATGGATCCTCATGGTCTGAAGAGAATGGTACTGCGAGGGTTGACCAGGGGATCTGGTCGATGATCAGCACTCAGAGTAAAAGTATGACGGATATACAAGCAGACTGCTACTGGCGCCACTGATAATGGAACTCAGCTGATGATGATTCCTAATTAAGCATTAAATTACCTTTCCTTATTATATATGATCAATTTTACTTCTAGTTTTTATCTAGTTGACTTTTAGTTTGTATGACGTAAAAATTATGTTTCAACCTGATATGATGATTGGAGATGTTAGTAAAGCAGCTACAGGACTGTGTGCTAACTACTTACGCCCAACCCCATCAGGACCTCCTCTGCTGCTAAACTCGGAGCTGTTTCTCCCTCCATCTCTTTGACCAAAGGAGTCACTGGGCCTTGAACCGCCACCTAATTACATAAAAACATATCTTCTTTTTTTTAATATCCCAGATGGTTTTACAGATACTCTGACCTTGTTTTACATGTGAAATGTTTTTCACGTTTTACAAACATTTATAAACTTAAATGTAATTAACTTTAAAAGGTTTAAAAAGTTTGAAGTTGATGACTGATTTCAATCCACCAGGTTTTTATCCAGTTTGGTGCTGTCTTTTTCTGCAGAAAGTCTAGCGCCAGATAAAGCTTTATTTTTGTTGATCCCGCTATAATCCGCAGGGATGTCCACAAACACTGCATTCATCAACAGGAACATCAGTCCATGAAATAAATCCATGCTTTCTAAAGACTTTAGGCCAACAGCTTAATCACTCACTCAACCCTCTTCTACCCTATCATACAGTGGTTTTTCAGACAGATCACCAGCCTTCTCTATCCAGTTTTTTTTTGTTTGTTCTTTTGGGTGGCCGTTTCATTCCAGACCTTTGTCAGTAAGGGACTGTCGGACATGTTTTCCCAGCAAACCCTGGATAGTCTTACTTAACGGTCTGGTTCCCTGGTTGCTGCCCTCCCATGCTTGCCGTGGTGGTCGATTTTCTCCCATTCTGCATTGATGTCCAAACCATCGTGACTGTGATTGATCAAGTTGAGTTTGTAAGGCCTGGGTTTCGAGATCACGGTGTATTGTCTGGCTGCAAACTTTGTCTCTTCTTGGACCACCTTTTTCAGATATTTTTTTTATTAGCTGTTGTCATTACCCATGACTCGCACCCACAGGTTAGGACTGGCACAGAGCTTAATCACTAAGCAACGATTATCTCATGATGCAGAGATTTAATCAATTATAAAACAACGCTATAATATACTTTACATTAATAATACTGAACAAATAAATGCTAGAGTACGTATGATGAAGATAAGACCAAAGCCACAATATGTTGTAGCTATCTGAGAATGATAATATGGTGATATCTGACTACTTCAATGGTAATTACTTATAACATTTTATGAAGTGAATTCACTAGTGACTACAACAATGATATGTTGTGGGTAGGCTAATTATTATTGTACATAACAAATATAGGGCAACCTGCAGTGAAGCTACAATGTCAAATGAATAAAGATAAACCCATAGTAAACAATAACAAAAATATAAGAAGGGAAAGAGAATGTAAAGTGAAAAGAAGGAGTATATAGGGTGAGCTATAAGCGATGTCAGGGGGGGGGGCCGCTATGGTGTAGCGGCTAGACGATCACCTGCATATCAGAAGATGGTGGGTTTGGGTCCTGATGTAGCCAGGACTCATTTTCAAATATGACCACCCTCCCATGTCAATCCAGCCTTGAGCAGGTACCAGGTTAAAGTCCTGGGAAGTGCCAGTTGGTCTACAAAATATAGATCCAGCCTTGAGCAGGTACCAGGTTAAAGTCCTGCGATGTGCCAGTTGGTCTACAAAATATAGATCCAGCCTTGAGCGGGTACCAGGTTAAAGTCCTGCGAAGTGCCAGTTGGTCTACAAAATATAGATCCAGCCTTGAGCGGGTACCAGGTTAAAGTCCTGCGATGTGCCAGTTGGTCTACAAAATATAGATCCAGCCTTGAGCGGGTACCAGGTTAAAGTCCTGCGAAGTGCCAGTTGGTCTACAAAATATAGATCCAGCCTTGAGCAGGTACCAGGTTAAAGTCCTGCGAAGTGCCAGTTGGTCTACAAAATATAGATCCAGCCCTATATGCCCGATTCAGCCAAAGGTGTAATAAGCAATAAGATTCTGGTGTGAGTTGGCTAACAGCCTATGCTCCAATAGAGGAAAAAAAGATAAAGCGTGGGAGAGAAAGAGGAAGAAGTAAGGAGCTACAAAAATTAAAGAGAGAATAAGCGTTGTGACATTATAGCAATACACCCAACACAAGGTAATAAATCACCCAAAAAAAGTCACAGAGAAAAGGAGAATACAATAAGGATTAGTTTATATCAAGGCTATGTCAAGAGAAAGATATGTATGTTAATTTGCTTCTATGTTCCTTAAACATGTTGTGACCACTGGAAAGATCTGTGGAGAAGGGATAGAGGAAGACAACAAGAGAAGATTTTTTACAGTCTAGCTGCATGGCATGGTGGTGTCAGCACGCAAACTGATACATGCTGCAGGAGATCGCAGATTGTGGAGGGGTATGATCGCCCACGCCAGTCGACAAGGCACCTGATGATGATGTTCCTTTAAAAGAATATGTGTATATATAAATGTCCTTTTTTTCCCCTGCTATTTCTTGTTTTTATGTTATTCTGTACTTAGCCTTTTTATTTCAATGTACAGTGTGTTTGAAATTAGGATTTTCAGTTTCAAGGTGATATGATGACGAGGTGTTAGTAAAGCAGCTACAGGACTATGTATTGACTACTTACGCCCAACCCCATCAGGACCTCCTCTGCCACTAAACTCGGAGCTGTTTCTACCTCCATCTCCTTGACCAAAGGAGTCACTGGGTCTTGGACCGCCACCTAATTACATAAAAACATTTCTAGTTGGTGTATCTCAGACAGTTTTACAGATAATTCTAGTTTTGTTGTACAAAAGACAAATTGGGCCTAGACTATACCCCCAGTATGATGATGGCATGGAAATGATATACTCTACAAACCTGTTCTTTTTCCCTCCGATGGAGCACAGGATCTCAACCAGCTGACACCAGGCCCTTTGCAGACTGTTCTTCTTCTTAGTGTTCACCGGTTGTAAACTTTAGCCTAAAGCTCTGGTTTTTTTTTGCCCACACATGAACTTTAGTCCTCTTCCCCAGCTGCGACTTGCTGAATCCCACGGCCTGTGTTCGAAACCGCCAGGGGTTTACTCAGCCTCTAGGTAATGGGTACCAGAGTTAACACTCAGGGGTAAATGAAGGAACGTCACTGTAGTAGCTTTGGAGTTGCATGCGGACGGTGACACAGGCAGACAGTTTCTTATCAGCTGTCTGTACTGGTGGCAAAGCAGCTTATGGTTTATAACCGCGTGCAATGACGCTGGTTCACATCTCTCGACTCTACCTTTAGAAATTGTTTCGAAGGCTCATCCATTTTACAGATCTGGCTTATTAACATGCAGACTGTTGGTTCCTTACCTCTCAGGCACATGAGCTATAAAGGATACACCCCTTCCTAGAGTCGACTCTTATGACATGCTTCTTTAGGGGTGAGGTCACCACTATAAAGTGAGCTGGAACCCACAGTCTCCCGTGTCCCTCTTTACTGCACCCACCCTATTCTGCCTATGGTGGGGCAGATTGGTGCAAAGGTTTCAAGAAACTACATGTCTTCTATTGATTATTTATAAATTTAGTCATCCGTTGATAAAGACCGGTCAAAACGTTTAGTTGTATTTTTGTGTGTCTTTTCCCATTCCCAACACTCAGCTGTCCAGTCACATTTTCTTGTTGCATCAGCCCTATATGCCCTATATGCCTAAATATGTCCTTTACTCTTTATAGCATCATACAGATTTGAATCACCACAGGAGAATGATGTAGAGATCTGACCAATGCCACAACAATGTCAATATCAAAACAGTGCCACAACATAATCTGAAATCTGACACCATCATAGTTTTATCTGACCACTGTCACAACATGGAATAAAATTTTGACCAAAGCAACATCAGAAAGAAGAGATCTGACCTCCGTCTCAACATGGAATAAACATTTGACCACAGCAACATCAGAAAGAAGAGATCTGACCTCCGTCTCAACATGGAATGAACATTTGACCAGAGCATCATCGGAAAGAAGAGATCTGACCTCTGTCATAATTCCAGATTTAATAAAAGCCCCATCATGTCTAGATTTTCCCAGTGTTTGTCTCAGGGTTCCATTCTAAGCAACAACAAACAACCACCACCCTCTAACATGTCGTAATGGTCGACTTATTAGGGGTTTCCTTCAAATTCAGAGTGCATCTGCCTAAGAGACAAGGAACCAACAGTCTGCATACAAATAAGACAGATCTGTAAAATGGATGTGCATGCAAAACTCAAGCAATGGAACAAGGCTAAAGTTCAGAAGTGGATGAACAACCAGAACTTTCTAACTAAGTTTACAGCTGGTGAACACGATTAAGAAACAGAAGTCCAGATTTGAATACTGCAGTAACAGATACATTTGACTTCAGCAATAATAAGATAGAGATTAAACTACTGCAACAAAATGATGTAGCCTCTGAGTACTGCAGTATAATGTACTGATAAGACTACTGCAGTAATACAAATAAAGGACCCTTCTCCACACCTTCAGGCGTACTGGGCATATAGGGCTAGACCTATATTTTACAAACAAATCAGCAGTTGGTGGGTAATGTGGTCAGCATCACGTCAGCCGCTTTTACTTCCCTGGGCTTGCACCTGTTACCCACTTAAGACTGGATCGATGCAGGAGTCAAGGTAGCTTTTTTTTTAATTTAGGGCTAGCCCCAAAACCACAGCCTTCTGATCCGCAGGTGAATGTCTAGCCACTACACCGCAGTAATTCTCATTGCAGTGATATAATATATAAATATTAGCTTTGTAGTTAATCATGGGTTTCACTTTCATTTTTCAAAAATCAGGGGTTCGGAGGGCAACAGAAAAAATCTGTGTAGTCAATACAAAGTTACTTATTTCTACTTACGTCCAGGAAATCCTCCATCTCCACCACCACGGCCTCCAGCAAATCCTCCTCCAGTTCCACTGCCAACAGGTCCGCTGCCTTGTCCAAATCCTGATCCGCTGCCGCCGCCACCACCACTTCCCGCTGACCCAAAACTGCCACTGCCACCACCTCCACCTTGTCCATAACCTCCTGCACTGCCGGTACCCGATCCATATCCTGACCCACTGCCACCAGTACCAGGCCCATATCCTGACCCACTGCCGCCGGTACCAGACCCATAACCTGACCCACTGCCACCAGTACCATATCCTGACCCGCTGCCGCCACCTGGCCCATAACTTCCCACCACCTTGTCCTCCAGCACTGCCTGGACCATAGCCTCCTCCTGACCCATAACTTCCAGTGCCACCACTTCCAGAACCATAACCGGCTCCACCACCGCTGCTGACTGGAGCACTGCCCTGTCCGTACCCGGTCACACTGCCACCACTTCCAGCTGACCCATAGCTGCCGCTGCCAGCAACCGCCCCTTGCCCATAGCCTCCACTTCCTGGCCCATAGCCTCCTGCACCCCCCTGACCGTAACCACCACTGCTGGTTTGACCATACGCACTGCTGGCACTAGTCTGTCCGTAACTCCCTCCAACCTGCCCATAACCTCCTGCACTTTGTCCATAGCTGCTTCCAGTGCCACCATATCCTGCCTGGCTTGGCTGCAAACACAAATAGTGAAAGATCATTTGTTGCGCAACACAAAGTGTTTACCTATACTAACATTTAATAAGAACATTCTGAAGAGGGGAAAAAAGGAAATAAATGTGTTTAAGACATAATAAAACTGACGTCTGTCAGAAGGCTTTGATATGGTAACTGGGGTAGTATAGCTTTAGTTGTTGAATGACCAAACTTTCACCTGGGGACTCTAAAGTATTTGGTTTGAAACCACACCAAGATTGGTTTTTATAACTGACCCTCCCCATCTGGGTTCCGGGGCTCCAGTGTGGAGAAAATAAAATAGACCCATTGACCTATTAACAAGCACGTCGCAAAATGTGAATGATTAGGAATGTTTACTTCAAAGTCAAAGAGCATCCACCTGAGAGGCAAGGAACCAACAGCCTGCAAATACACCAGCTCTGTAAAACAGATGTGCACACAAATTTATAGTTCTGGATTAGAGAACTAACTCCACGAGCGGACTTCTTTTTCAGTGTTCACCAGCTGTAAACTCCAGTGAAAAATTCTGGATATTCGCACACCTCCGGACTTTAGTCTTGTTCCTGAACCCGAGTGTTGCGTACACATCCATTTCACAGATCTGGCTTTTTTTTAATGCAGACACCTGGTTCCTTGCCTTTCAGACAGATGTACTCCGACTTCAAATGATTACCCAACTCCCTAATTAGTCGACTCCTACTCCTGCTTGTTGAGGAGGCAGTGGTTCTATTCTTTTTCCCCCCTACAAAGTCCTGAAAAGTCTTCTACTACTTCTTTTCTCTACCCCTGGAATGCCTCGCCGGCGTCAGGGTAGGAAGAGATCTCTGCAACAGGCCCTTTTGTTCACTTCGTATAAAGTACTTTTCAGTGTCTCTAATATTTCTGCCGTACATCTTCTGCATTGCCGACCTCCAGCTCTGTTACCGCTGTATCTTCATAACATTGCTCTCTATGGTGCCCTGTCTGATCGTGAGATCACTTGATTTTCTACGAGCAGTAGAACTGTAGTAGGTCACTGTTGGTTTTCACACTTGGAACTAGAAGATCACATTCAGACTAGTTAAACACAATTTCCACTCCAGGATGTCAGAAACTGATCCCATTTAGAAGCTGGCTGAAAAATGAATACCCTCTTGGCTTGCCATTGGACAGTGGATACAAACTAGGTCCCTTAATTTGTGAGAACACAATGCTACCAGTTCCTCCACTCATGCACCATCCAGTGAAGAGGGGAGGCCAGCATTTACATAGACAGACAGACTGAAAAGAACTGTCACAGAGTATGTATTATTATTAATATTTGCACTCAGTGTAGCACATTGAGTTTGTAAATGCTGCCACGCGGGGCTTTTGTTCTGGCATCACGCAACAGCACACAATACTGGCATCTTTTTAGGTATTAATTTTTCAGCATTACTGTTAAATTTGGAGCGCTGGCACTATTTAATGTTAATTAATGTTAACTGACACTTTGTAGTGATTATCAGCCCTGCTTTCTGGTTTATAATAATTTAAACAATGAGACACAGGTGATAAATTTATTGTAACTGCTACAGTGTGAATTTCAGGAATTACAGTAAAATATATCCAGCAATAAATTGCGCTAAATCTCCCACTGAGATAACATGCTACGAATTGCACTGTAAACACCAAGCAGAGACAAACACCACACCTGCTGGCCGTATCCTGTAGGAGCCTGTGGGGCCGCATATGCTGCAGGCTGACTGTAAGGGTCAGAGGTCACTGCAGCAGTGGGAGGGTAGCCACTACCACCGGCTGCTACTGCAGCTGGTTGAGCTGTCTGGTCATAGGTGCCTGTTGTTTCAGAAACAGTGTTATAGTTATCTGTGTGGGTGAGAGAGAGAGAGAACATTGACAGAAACGGAAAGTTCATATACAACAGGGTTCCTAGTCAATTTCACTGGTAGTTTCCAAGAAAATAAAACTCAAATTAGCTTTATATATGGCAAAGGCAAAAACAATCAAATGCTATGTGTACGCTACTCTGATATCTAGAGACAAGAACTGACAAAAATGTTGAGAATAAGCTACATACAGAAAAAAGTAACACTGCAATTTTGACAACTGTAGTCACCAAATCATCAGGAAAAGACAAATATAGTTTACTAAACAGTAAATCAGCCACAAACCTCTAAATGGAGGGAGATAAGAGAGGGAGGGAAAGACAGAAAAAGATGTACGTAAAAAGCTTAAACAGAAAGGTGAAATAGACTTCCTCAAACTATCAGATGACAGAACGAAATGGGAGAATCATAAAAGTGCTGTCTGCTCTAGACCAGATATTCAGAGAGAGAGAGAGTCTGACAAAGACACAGGATGAAGCAAAAGGACAAAAAGAGGAAGATCAGTCAGATGATTAAAATTAATCCCAGAAAGTGGCATGCAAAACACAAACTGAAGTAACTGACAGAGTGGCAGTAAATCACAAAATGTGTTCAGGAAATATATTTACATAATAAACGCAGCCCTACACTAAACAAACAGGACACCCTGAACAGATGAGATAAAATCACAAGGAAGTGCAATGGTCACCTAACTCACCCCCATAAGAAGTGGGTGCTGGAGCCGCTGGCTGGCCGTAAGCCCCGTAACTTGTAGGACTTGTGCTGCTACCTGCATGTAGAAAACACTCATAATATTAGTCCACTCAAAACAGAGGATAAACACAATCACAATTAGTGACAGCAAATTACAAGCGGGCACAAAGGAAGGAAAGGACCCTACTCTATGCCTTTAGGCGTACTGGGCTAGATTTATATAAAGACAAATCGGCACTCACTGGATGATGTGGAAAACATCGCATTGGCCACTTTACTTCCCAGGACTGTATCTGATAGACATTTAAAGACTGGGTGGACCTGGGAGCCAGGTTCATTTTGACAAGCAGTCATGGTTACCATAAACAGATGAAAGATGACCACAATTAAATCAGCTGATCACAATTAGATGAGGTGATCACAAATGCATGTGTCAGCTAGAGTTGATCACAATCAGACAAGTTTACCATAAATATATGAGTCAATCAAAGCCAGTCAAAATTAGCACTGAACAAATGGCTGTCAATCACAGTGACAAAACAACAAATATGACAATCACAAATCATTGACAATCAATAAAACCTGAGTCACGGTCAACCACAAACAGATTGGCACAAAATACAGCAAACAGTTAATGGTCAAACACAAAAAGATGTCAGTCCATCACTAATCGATAATCAATCTTAATACAGTAAATTGTAAGCAGATAGTGAAAAAACATAGCAAACAGAAACCAGTCAATCCCAGACCAGTGACAATCAATCATAACCAGATCACAGTCAACCAGAAACACATGGTGAGAGTTAACCACAAGCAGATAATGAAAACCATCCATGGTCAGCGACAGCTAATCACAGACAGTGACAGCTAATCACAGACAGTGACAGCTAATCACAGACAGTGACAGTCAATCAGAAAAATTACATCTGAATGTGTAGTTTTTCTGTGCTGACCGGCTGTAAACTCTGGCTGTAAGTCCTGGTTGATCACTCATTTCTGGACTTTGTTCCAGGACCTGAGTTCTGCATGTGCATCCACTGTATAGAACTGTTATCAGCTAGCCTGCAAATGTGTTAATAAAACAATGCAGATAAGGAGAGGTCTCGGAGATGTGTTTTACAGAAGAATCCTTCGAGTTCCCTGGACGGCCATGAAAAGTAACCAAGAAGTTTGAAATAGGCGCAGGTTCTAAGATAACTTATCACAAACATCAGAAAGAGATGGGCGTCATTTTGTGATCATGTTATGAAAAGAAGGAAAGTAGAACATGTAACCACTGGAAATATTTGGGGACAAGAGGAAAACAATGTGAGATGATTCTTGACATCCTTCTTCTGTCACAACATGAAGGAGTGTCAACACAGGAACTGATACTTGCTGCTGAAGACAGCAGACTGTGGAGAGGCATGATCATCCACACCAGTAATAAAACAAACATAAAGCCATAAAGAATCTGCATACATGGGAAACAGTCACGAGGAAGAGCAGAAGTCAGGAACTTACCCCCTTGTCCATAAGTAGTGGGCACGGGAACTCCTGGCTGGCCATAGCCCGCGTAACTTGTAGGACTGGTGCTGCTACCTGGATACAGTTAATAATTGGTTAAGTTTGCTAAAGGACATACACTAGAGGAGATACTCTAGAGGATGTACACTAGAAAACGCACACTGAGAAAACTCAAAATATAATAGAACGTCCTGGCAACAGACCCCATGGGGTAAAAGAACGAACAACATTTTTAAAGGGCCACAAATTGAGCACTCAGGCCTGCTTTACATTCAACCATTAGACATTAATTATCCTCTTACATCACAAATGTATTCCTTCTAGTCTAAAAATATGTAAAATTAATACAGCACGCGTATATAAATTTAACAGCAGGTAAAAACACAAAAGCATTTATGACAAATGCGCACATTAAAAAATACATAAACACATCATTTATACAAATGTACATAAACACATATACACATGCATACACAATGTAAAAGATACTAGTAAAAAATGCCAACAGAAGGCATTTATGATACATATATGTATACTGGAATATACTGCGGCATCTGCAGAATAATGGAAAAGGAATCAGAAGTGACAGGGACAAAATACTAGTATTTCATCATGACCTTGCTGAGTTATGAACCACATTAGT